AATGGATGAGGAAGCTGTGGTACATATACACCATGGAATATTACTCAGCCATTAAAAAGAATTCATTTGAATCAGTTCTAATGAGATGGATGAAACTGGAGCCCATTATACAGAGCGAAGTAAGCCAGAAAGATAAAGACCATTACAGTATACTAACACATATATATGGAATTTAGAAAGATGGTAACGATAACCCTATATGCAAAACAGAAAAAGAGACTCAGATGTATAGAACAGACTTGTGGACTCTGGGAGAAGGCGAGGGTGGGATGTTTCAAGAGAACAGCATTGAAACATGTATATTATCTAGGGTGAAACAGATCACCAGCCCAGGTTGGGTGCATGAGACAAGTGCTCGGGCCTGGTGCACTGGGAAGACCCAGAGGGATCGGGTGGAGAGGGAGGTGGGAGGGGGGATCGGGATGGGGAATACATGTAAATCCATGGCTGATTCATGTCAATGTATGGCAAAAACCACTACAATATTGTACAGTAATTAGCCTCCAACTAATAAAAATAAATGGAAAAAAAAATGAAAGAAACCTGTGTATTATCCCCTAGAGGATGATATTGACTATAGTCACATAGGCATAGGGTGAAATCGAAGAGGCCAGGAAAAGAACGACGAGGGAGATGAAGCAGCTCATCTTTACCTGCCTGCTTGTGTGTTAAGTCACGTCAGTTTGCCCTACTATGTGCGATGCTATGGACTGTAGCCCCCCAGACTCCTCTGCCCATGGGATTCTCCAGGCAAAAATACTGGAGTGTGTTGCCATACCCTCCTCCAGGGGATCTTTCCAGCCCCTGTCTCTTATGTCTCCTTCATTGGCAGGTGGGTTCTTTACCACTAGGACCACCTGGGAAGACCCCTGTGTACCTAGCTGACTCTAAACTTCTATCTAGCACAAATGGACAGTTTTTGTTGAATGACTGTGATTCAGTAGAGACTCAAGCAAGGGCACCAGCTTGATAGTAGAGCTAATCTGATCTATAGTGAAAATTCAATGAGGCCTGTATTAACAAGGATTGTAAACAAGCCTCAAGTATTCACCTGAATCACAAGGAAATTGAATGACTGCTCAACCAAGTTGAATACCCCATTTCATTGTGTGAGTGTTTAAATTACTTTTCTACATCAGTCAGATACAAAACAAGTAAATAATATGAGGAAGGGGTAAGACCATTGTTTAGAAGAGGAGACTTTGTTATCCTTACAGTGTATGGGGAAGGAAGCTACTGAAGAACAGTTGAAGGAAAATTATAAGATATCCCTTGGGGTTGTGCATGCATAAATTTAGAGTGTAA